CACGTGTGAAGAAGCGGAAATGGAGAAGTTGAAAGCCAATCTGTCTCCATAGGTGATGTGAATGTCGTGAAAAAACTTAATTTGTGAGTATTACATGACCTTTTACCTTTTTCTTTTTAAAATGACCCTTTATTTGAGGTATTACATGACCTTTTACCATTGTCCTTTTAAAATGACCCTTTATTTACCTAATCATCTGCTCTCCGTGAATGGAGCCATTTTTGCTGAAAATTCAGATGTGTAAAATCCTCAATATAGCATTCTTGTTCTTCTTCTTCTTCAGCTAACACCTATTTGACATAACATTGCAAACAATCACACTACTCGTTTGATTTCAATGGCGTATCTATTTACACTTGAAGATCACAGACACTGGATATTTAGTGAACATTTGTACGCTGCCATTCCGCAACCACCTCACCTCTTCAACAATTCATTTTTCCAAATTATTTCTGTGCACTTTTGCACAACAAAAACGATCTGTAACAATGTTTGCATATTTAATGAAAACTTATGCATTCCTGTACCATTTCAATGGAGTCTTTAAGGGCTTCGGTCATTTACTCCAAATATACTGACTGATACTGACTGACTGATTAGGTCAATTTATTATAAAAAATGACAATTCTTCGATCACATGTTTTGTAGAAGACCCAATTTTCTACCGAAAAAGTACAAAAAAGAATACTTCCGACGATATTAAAAATATATAGTTACCTTCATCAGGGTGTTGAAAATAAATTGGAAAATGCGTACGACGTAGGTAAAAAGCTCGTGCAAATAGCATAATCCTGACGTGAGATAAATATCTTAGGATAATTATGCGCGTAAAGAAATAGTAAAATATTACTTAAGTGATCTTCTCAAAACAAAAATGAGTTATAAAATTTTAAATCATTATTTAATGAGAAAGAAATCTGTTGTATTTGCTGTTACAATAAGTTTATTTGCCTGACGTTTTCAATTCCATTATCGAAGACAATAGCAGATATCTCTGATGATGGATCCGCTACGGTATTGGAATTGTCAGAAATTGTCTCAGCAAGCACATTTACTTTTTATCTATCTGCTTTGCGCTTGAACCAACATTTAGCGTAACCAGAGATTTCACAATTGTTTTACTGCCAGCCGTCCAACAAGAGTGCACACATATAAAATAAACTTTCCTGGTATATGACCTTCAGAATTAAGAGCTAATTTTGCTAACTAAATGACCTCCAACGCCTCATCGTAAGGTAGATGATAGGCTAATCACGGAAGGAGGCTAGCGCAGGGTATTGGAAAAGGTGTCTCGACTGGAAGAGAACACATGTTCATGAAAAGCGAGGAAGCGAAGGAGCGCCAACTCACCTCTTCCATCCTTCGAAAAACAAGGCACTCACCAGGAAGAAGGTGCCGCCATCTCGTTTTGGGTCGTTTGCATAGACTTTTAGGTTGTACTCGCCGGCGTCGGGCAGGAAAATTGAGAAAGCGAATTCCTTATTGTTTGAGAGGGGACGTTGGACGATGCAGTGTTTCATGGCCTCCTCCGAAAACGCCGTGGATTTGAGTTCACCCATCAGCCTGGGAAGAGGTTGACTCGGATCTTTGTTGGTGAAGCGTAGTTCCACAGTTCCCTGAGTAGCTCGAACAGTGGCATCCCTGCAGACAGCCCGGATGTTGAACCGCTTTGCATGCTACAAACGGAAAGAAATAATTAATACC